TCCACCGGACTCCACCGCTCAGCTCATAGGTATGTGACAACCAATCTTGGATCGCTCATCTCTCTCTCTCTCTCTCTCTATCTCTCTCTCTCTCTCTCTCTCTCTCTCTCTCTCTCTCTCTCTCATGGTCTTCTTGTTGCAGGTGCGCGGCTTCTCCTTCCACCTCGAGGTCCGCTATGGCGGACTACCTCCTCCGGCGGCACTTCAGCTATGGCCGATCGGTCCTGCACACATAGCGCGCATGGACCAGCGGGTACCAGCTCCGATACCAGTGAAATCAAACTCGTCTTCTTGTCACTTTGTCATGCTTGCAAACAGCGGTACAGCAACTGGCGACATGCGCCCACACAGTACTCAAGATATCATAACCAGATATAAGTTCTCTTCAACTGGCTATGGCCACTGGGCGCCCACACAACTCACTGTTCGCACTCTGGATCACCCTGGATGTCCCACACGCAACACTCAGTATCATATACAACACACACACATACTATGCCACAGCTATGGCAGCGCTAGCTGCCTCTACCCTATCGCTACACTACACTTCTCTGCCCACTTCGTCTTCGGGCGCACTGCAGACCACCTCGCACAAGCTGCTAAGGCAGCGCTTCCGCCTGGCATCTACAGGAATGAATGAATGAATGGACGCAGCCTCTTGATTTATACTTCTGTGCTGCATTGGTTTGCCCTATGTCCCTGGCCCATGGTGCACACAGTTCCCCCCGTGGTACTTGCTGGACCGGACTGGTACTTTCTAGACTCTCCCTTGACTGTATGACGACGACCCTACGACGCAGTGCAATTGCACCGGGGTCCTACTATTTGACCTTGCCACTTGTCCTCGTCTCCAACATGGGCTTGCTTTAGTCACACCACTTGCCCACTTGCCTACACCACTTGACCACTTRMCAACCTTCTAGAAGGACTACAGCTAGCCTTCTAGTCTACARGTCTATGGATCGAATCCTGGCTAYCTATAGACCTACGACAGACCTACCTACCACTGGCGGTTCTACAGGTCGCAGGTTCAACTCTTCGAGTTGACGCAGGTATTGTACACAGGTAAGTTGGGGAACTAGGGATCGAGCCCTGGGATCTATCTCAGCTACCACGAATTGGTGAATACCTTTTCAGTAGGGCGCCTGGCGCCATTCAAGAGAGAGAGCTACATTGGGTTATGCTGTTGGTGTTGCCCGATTGGGCTTGGACATTGACTCACGATTCTTCTGTATCGWTCTCAAATGGATGGTTACKCGGTTMCATTGTGCTATCTGCTCTTGCTTTGACTACTTGGACTTCAGTGTGATTTTGCAATCTGGATTTCTGTGCTTCGTCCACATTCATGTTCCTTGCACAATTTTGTGGACTTGGGACTGGACTGGACTGGACGTTTCCAGACTTTGCTGTCAGGTACCGGACAAACTGTGCAGCGAGTCGACTTTCCGGATGTTTCATGACTTAAACCTACCCCTTGCGATGCTGAGAGTTGGGACTTCGGAGCCTGTATGGCCGGGCTCTCAGGTATCTGCAACGTGAAATCCTTTTGTCAAACAAAAACAGGCACACACACCAGAAAAAAAAGAAAAAAAGAAAAAAAGAAAAAAAAACACAGAAAAATGTAAAATCGGCCAACAAATCGTGCTTCTAGACTTTCTAGTAGACTAGTATATTATTACAAGGTTAACCACATTAACCATGTGTGCGGAGTTACAGCAAAGGAAAGCAGAAGAGCAAAATGCATTTTGAGAGAGTTGTGCTAGGATTCAGCCCCTTGCAAGGCCTTTCGGGCCTCGGCAGCCGAGGACATAAGGGCCCCCAGCCAGCCTCGTGCCCGTCCTAAGTGAAGGCGGGCCTGCATTGGCCCCTAAGGCCTTATTTTTGTTATTTCCGCATGTGCGGGTGCCAGACAGTTGCCACACGCCAGTTGGTTACGAGGCCCACGCCAGTGTGAACACGACATTTTGCCTCTGGGCTGGTCCAAGCAGCGACATGGCCGGAGGCCTCTCGGCCAAAGTGTGGGGGAAGAGAAGGTGGTGAGAGAGAGAGTGAAGTGTTATATGCGTCAGTCTGCATGGGCGACTTCGTCACGTACATTGGTCTTCGACTTAAAAGTGATTCCCGTTGTATGTCGTAGTGTAGGCTAGAGTAGGTTCTGAGTAGAGATACGCACGGCGCTGAAAAATCAACAAGGGCAACATTGCATGCATTGTTGATGGTGGCGAGAAGAGGGTGACATTGACATTTGAGTTCATTGTATCTCAGTGCATTGTGTTTTCTGTTTGGGACATGACAACCCGGTCTTCAATGTGATATTGCAATTCTGTCTATCACTCTCGCTCTCTTTTTTCTTCTTTTTTTTTTAAAAAGGACGATGCTCCAATCTATTCGTGGGGAGTAACACGGCTGGGAACCGCGCCCAGCGTCCCTTATCAGAATACAAAAGATGAGCTACCAGGGCCATTATCAGAATACAAAAGATGAGCTACCAGGGCCATTACCCGGCTTCGGCTAAGAAGAATTTGAAGAAAAGAGAAGAACTCAGAAACATTTATGGTCTCTCTCTCATTTTCCTTGCAGTTGCAAACGGAAAAACTTGCAAGTAATCGCCTGTGTTCACACAAACACACACAGATATATGCATGGATATGCACAAGAAACGTCAGCAAGGGTATAATGCCCATGCATATACACGTCTTGTGCCATGGGTGTAGCCGCAATGTCCAGCACCTTGCAGCTGAGAGGGTTGCGGGGCTAAATAAATCAGTAACCATCAGTAAGAGTACAGCGCTTAGAGGTAAGAATCAGCAGTGCTCAAAGGTAAGGAAAAAAAAGCAGCACACGAGCTCTAGTTCTTTGTCATCGCAAAAGACCAACCATACCTTGGCTGCTGGCCCACTCCGCTTCCGCGCTATATGAGATGTCATTCGCTCAGAGAGCACTGCAGCTGCTGCTGAGCTAAAAGCCTGGTGGTTGTGTGAAGCTGCTGAACCATTCAGCAAAGGAACCATAGCGTCCAACGCATTTGCTTTAGAGACATCGCTGGCCCTATACACAATGGTATTGCCTTTACCTAAAAATCAAAACAGCACGGAGCCCACGGGGAAATGCACCGCATCACACAAGTATTGACAGCAATGAGTAACAGTGGGAGGATCAAAAATTCATATACAATATACAATGTACGCCATGGAATCCAGTAGCTACAGAGAATGTAATTTTGTTTTCTTACTACAGTTTTAATCCACCTCTGGTTGGTTTTCTCCAAGGAGAAACGGACCTTCAGCCTCCTTTTGTACGTCCTCCTCTTCCATGAGGATGGTCCACACGATTCATAACAAAACCAAGAACGATGGTCTTCATGAAAAGTTATTTCGAAGGCTAGCCTGTCATCACTAGACTATGAGCTCTCTCTCTCTCTCTCTCTCTCTCTCTCTCTCTCTCTCTCTCTCTCTCTCTCTCTCTCTCTCTCTCTCTCTCTCGTTGTGCCAGATGACCGATCAAGAGTCTGATCACATCATTGCTCGCCCACCGACCACCACATAAGTTATCTGCCTGTCCCCACAGCCTTCCTCGCTTCTCCTTCACGGACCACAATGTAGACCATACATGGACCCCTGCCCATTAAAAAATGTCGACTGCAAAACTGGTACCTGACTGCCGGAGATTCCATCCATCCTCAGTAGCCATGACAAAAACATGAAAGGTTCATACACATTGCGGCGATTTTCCTGGATATATTTAACACAAATAACAGTCATGTTCCAGTCAGGACATTCCTGGTGTGCTCAGATCCATCCAACAAGGCAGTGGGTTGGATCAGCATCATCAGCTACCTCTGTGTAACACAAGAAGGGAAATAAGAAAAGAAAGAAAGAAAGAAGGAAAACACTCCTAACGACAGAAATGTAGTGTAAACAAACTGACAGGTGAAACAAATGGCAATTGTAGCGTAGACCCGCTGCCCGGTGAAACAAATGGTAGTTACACTTACGCTCAAGCACGGCAGTTCTCCATTAAAAAGTATGGCTTTAAAGAGAACTTGTCAGAGCAGACAAGTCCCACATGTCCACTTCCTGATAGCTATTGTCTAAGGACGGCCAACAGAATTATCCTTATCTGCCTGGCATGACAAGGCTTAGATGTGAATGCCATGGAGATCAAATTGCAATGAGGGCACTCACTATTGTACATGTCCATGAGATAAACATGCTCGCCGCTGTAGCTCAGAAGAACTTCCTCTCCATTTGGACTGAAGGCCACATGCGTCAAATGGAGCCCTGATCTACCACCCTGAGCAAAAGGTTGCAAAAGCGAAGTTAGCAGATGAAAAGTTTCACGCAGGCACAATATTTTGCCGCCCCCAAATCCATTTCATAAGGCAAAGGATCTGATTGTGTTCAGGGGGGGGGAAAAGGGAAAAATGTTTGCAGGGCTACAGGTAGTTGTCTAAACCAAGAAACAGGTGATTCAATTAAGATGTTTGACAGGTCCATCACTTGCTTGTTCACAACTTGATGTATGAGGCCTTACGGCAATCAGAGATGAAGGACAACAGATGGATGGTAGGGAGGCGGGTAACAAATTGTTCGTTTGGCAGGCTCTAAAGGTCAATGGTGGGGCTCCAGTCCTCAGTCACACGCCAATCAAGCCCAAAAGGACAGAAAATGATGAAGGATACAAAAAAAGCAGAACTTGCACTAGGATCTTCAATGCAAGCCACCTACACACAACACCGTCATTCTCTCTCTCTCTCTCTCTCTCTCCCTCTCTCTGGGCAGCTCTGTTTGATGGGACTCATTCGTGCAGCTGCCCAGTACATCATACTTTATTCTGGATTATTGACCGACTCTCGTGTGACACCTGTCGGGACAGGGACGCGGTGCGTCTTGGCTGTGGAATTCATCACCTATGCCATCAACGTTATCAATCCATTGCAGCTGCCACCGTCTGTGCCGAAGGGTGTCCAACATTTCCTCATTGTACACATCCCTATCACCCAGATATTCGTTGTCCGTTTTGTGCTCAAGGACGCTATCAGGACTGCATGATGCCGCACTGTGATGAATGTCCTGCTGTTTTTTTTACATGTGGACAGAATGTCCTTTCTCAGGACTGTTTTGATGGGATGGGCTGTGCTAGCCGTCCTGCTGAATGCTGTGCCGAAGTAGCTCTCCTTGGGTATCCTTGTGAACATCCACGTCATCCTCCGCGTGCCTGTCCTATCTGCCGGGGTGGGGGCTCCACTTCCTAACTGGTCAATAGAATCAAGCGATCAGGAGCAACACTAATTGTAGGACAGATAAAAGAAAGAAAAAAAGTACAAATTTTCTGGAATGTGATGACCCGTCCTAACATGGACTGAAACACACGACTGATTTCTGAGTTTTGCCCATAGACTGAAAGCCTTGCTGAGTTTCCCGCCTGCTACTAAGTCTGTGTGTGCACGCTTGCTGGGCTGCATGTCTGTCTGAGTGTGTGTGTGGCCGTGCCTGTCTGAGTGCTGGTTGGCTTGAGTGTGTGTGTGGCCCGCAAGGGCACTTGCTCGTTCATTGGGCCCTCAGGGCCAGTACTTACCTGTGGCCGTGACATTCAGGGATTGCAGCAGGAAAAGCACTCAAGTAGCGGGTAGGCTGGTGCCGCACCCTGAAGGGGTAGATGTGCGGGTACTGGAGGGCAAGCAGAAGAAGACAAAAGTGGCATTTTTAGAGGCCCAGTAGTTGTAGGTTAGGTCTAGGCGGATACAGGTCCAACCAGTCTGGGTCTAGGGCCTGTACGGGCAATATCAGAGTCTGCAATGATGTTTCCCTCTGAAAGGGAGGAGGTACCGGTTGCTTGGAAGGCTGAGCGGCCTGGAAGTCACCGCCCGAAGAGGCAAGCAGGCCGCTATATCTCCCAGCCGGGCGAAGAGCCTGGCCTCTTTTTCGGTGTGCAAGTTTGGCGACACACTGGTTGGAGCACAGGTTGGAGCAGCGCTATCCAAGAGCAGGAAGAAGGACAGGAAAGGGGGAGGAGCGCCAGGGGTACTTACCTGGCTATGGTGGCAGCCATCTTCATCACCTTGGTGGGCGCTGCAGCAGGGAGTCCCCAACTGGGGAGAGCTACACAAAGAAGCTTCGAGGCAGGGTCGGGCATGGCGGCCTGAGCTAGAGCAGCCATAGCTGCTTTGTGCAAGGAACATGAATGTGGACGAAGCACAGAAATCCGAATTGCAAAATCACACTGATGTCCAAGTAGTCAAAGCAAGAGCAGATAGCACAATGGAACCGAGTAACCATCCATTTGAGAACGATACAGAAGAATCGTGAGTCAATGTCCAAGCCCAATCGGGCAACACCAACAGCATAACCCAATGTAGCTCTCTCTCTTGAATGGCGCCAGGCGGCCTATCTACTCTACAGCCTAACACTACAACTACAGCATGGAAGCAACCAGACAACTTGACGACCAGCGAGTGATAACGTCAACACCAATGCCGACCTCCTCTCCACCAGGTACGTCTCTCTCTTCACCCTCACTCTCCCTTGTTATCCCACACAGCGCCCTTCACTTCCCGAAGAACCACCTTCGCCCTCACCTCCCTCTGCGCCCTCAGGCAGCCCGGCTATGGCCGCCAGCACCCTGCGCCCAGGCTGCGCCCTACCGCTTAGCGCCAGCCTGCCTCTACCTCAGCCTAGCGCAGCGCAGCACCTCGCAGTGCTTCAGCGTGCCGGCATTGCTCGCAAGGGCCAAGATGCCTGCCCACTCGCCCCGGCATTGGTCGCAAGGGCCAAGATGCCTGCCCACTCGCCCTTTCTGCCTATATGCCAGTGTTGCGTGTGGGCGGCCTCCCTTGAGCCTGCGCCTGGGCCCCAGTACCTGTACCCAGGCCCAATGCGGTTGGGGCACACGAAATACAGTTGAGCCCCTTTCATCAAGGCCTGCGTCCGGATTCAGCTAGTGGACCGGTTTCCCATTGGCATTTTCGGCCTCTATTTCCAGCATGCAATGTCGGCCTCACGTTTATGTGTCCAAGGCCTAACCAATTCTGGGGCCCTGGTCCTTCTGCATTTGCAGAGATCTGATACTCGGTGCACTCCAACCAACTGGCGTGCTGCAACTGTATGGACCCCACTTCGTGAAATGTTAAACAGAAGGGGCTCTCATTGATTTGCTGGCCCGCCTTCACTTAGGGCGGGCACGAGGCTTGCTGGGGGCCTTAGCCCAGAACATATGCATATTGGGAAGGCCCTGTCGAGGGCTCATTCCTCACATTCCATCCCCCTTAGCTTCGAAAGTCCGCTGAGATGCTTACTTCGCAGCTGCCTTCCCTTTTAACTTCCTCTCATATTCTGCCACCACTTGAGGAGCTGTGTCAATCAGTTCCTCTCTGGTGAACCATCGATCTTCTTTTGGATCCGTATGATGCCTGAATCTGACGCGATATTCTCTCTTGGGTTTGGGAGGTCTCCCTCGACCCAGTGGCTTTGGAACAGGCATGTCTCTGTGATCCACAATGTCGTCGATGTCCAATCGGTTTCAACTTCTTCCCATCCTGCTGAGCCAACACTGCGCCAATGCCGTATTGGCTTGCGTCAGTGGTCACAATAAACGGCTTCTGAGGATCGGGCACCATGAGAACCTCATGATTCATGAGTGCATGCTTCAATCCTTTGAAAGCAGCCTCACACTCATCACTCCAGTCCCAAGGCGTGTCAAGTCGAGTTAGATCAGTCAAAGGAGAGGCGACTGTGGAATAGTTCTTCACAAAGTTCCTATAGTAGCCGCACATCCCTAAGAAAGATCTGACCTCAGTAACAGTTTGAGGTCGTGGTCAGTCCCTGATACTAGCCACCTTCGCATCTTCCTGCCTAATCCCTTCCGCAGATACTTCATGACCCAAGTACAAGATCCTAGTACGTCCAAACTCACATTTCTCTAGGTTGACCTTATACTTGTGCTGTCGCAAGAGTGAAAGTACAGTCTCAACGTGTTGTGCATGCTCCTCGACAGACTTACTAAAGATAAGAATATCGTCAAGGTACACGACGACAAACTTATCTAAGTAGTCATGGAAGATCCTATTCATGGCGTGCTGGAATGTACCCGACGCATTGCAAAGGCCAAAGGGCATCACTACAAACTCATACAGACCGTATCGGGTCAGAAAAGCAGTCTTGTGTTGATCCTCAGGTCTTATAGCAATCTGATGGTAGCCGGACTTTAAGTCTATCTTGCTATAGTACTTACATCCCTGCACCCTATCCAATAGGACGTCTATGCGAGGTAGAGGCTCTACGTTTTTCACTGTGATGGCATTGAGGCCTCTGTAATCAATGCACATCCTCAATGTTCCTCCCTTCTTCGGTACAAATAGAGCTGGAGATCCGAAGGGGGAAGTACTTGGCCGTATCCAACCCTTCTCTGTAAGCTCTTTCAGTTGTTGCCGGAGCTCGTCCAACTCGGACGGAGACATCCTATAGATCCTTCCCTTTGGGGTTTTACTCCCTGGAATGATTTCTATGGCATGAACAATCTCCCTTTCTACGACTCCTGTAGGCTCCTCAAACAGATCGGGGAACTTAGCAACGACGTGTTCTATCTCTAGGGGTGTTTTAACGACCTCCCCTTTCTCAGAGACATACACTAGGTACATACCCTCCTCTTGGTTCTGTTTATAGTAATTGTGGAACGCTGATGCGCACAAGCTGCCATAGGATTCTATTAAGCTACTAGCCTTATACTTGGCCAGTCTCACAGTCCTTCCATCCTGCAACTTATGCTTTAGCACCTTCTTGTCCCAATCAAACTGGGGTTTGGCAACCTCAAGGCAGTACTTTCCTAACAACATATCAAACGGTAAGTCGTCGCTAACCAGGAACGAAATCTTGTGATTAAGTTCCCCTCCTCCATACGAGAAGGTACAGACTACATCCTTGATATAGTCTGTGACAACCATGCGCTCCTTATTGGCCAAAGTAGATGCTACCGGTCTACTAAGGTGTTGTACCCGGTCCTTTAGGTGCAGCCTTTCCAAACACTCGCGACTTATGTAATTTCGCGTGGAGCCGATGTCTTTGAAGGCACCACATTTGCGGTCTCCTACAGCAACTTCCACAACGAAATGTTCCCCTCTAGGACCTCTACTTAGTGTCACCCAAGATTCGCGAGGGTCCTTGCTTGACCACTCACTTTCTAAATCTTCTAAGACTTCAGACACATCCAACGTACAGAGCATAGTTTGGTCTGGATGAGCCTGCAGGGTGACTAAAGAGTCATTAGCTATGGCCTTCTCATGAAGTGGGGAGGGTATCTGGCCCACTTCACCATGAGTAGAAGCAGCTAAAACTTCCACCGGCCTCACATGTTTCCCGAGCTAGAAGCCTGGGAAGAAGGTACCCCTCCCTTGGGGGGTATCTTCTGCGTGACCTTTGCGTTCTTGCACTTGTACTGGGTGTGTCCGTATTCACCGCAGTTAATGCAAGCACCACGCACTCGGCGGTCCCGCCACACTTCATGATCAAGACCTGCCTTGACCCAATCAGCAACCTTGGCTTGATTGGAGGCGGCCTGCCCTTGACTTTTTTTATGGCCCTTCCCTCGGCCACCTGCCTTAGTCTTTACTATTGCGGCGAGGGTGCTACCCTCAGCGGTTTCCTCGCCGTCGTACTCTGGACTGTCCATCAGGTCAGAGAATTCATCGATCTCGGTTTGGGTCCCATCAGACTCAACCATCATCAATCGACTCCCCTTGTTTTTCCACTCCTGTGGACTCTTCTTCTTCCTACCGTCTACTGGAGTAGGTTGAGCACTTTCTAGAGTAGCCTCTAAATCTAAGGCCTTTCTAGAGAAGGTCACAAACGAATGATGCTCGAGGCGAGCCTCGCTGGCCAGCAAATTTCTAAGATTCTCGGGCAGACGTTTCAGAAACATGGTCAATAAGACCTGGTCATCGTAGCGTATACCGGGAACGATGATGAGGCTCTCTACGGTAGACGTTAGCTCTCTGACTGACTTGTACTTCCTTTGATCTAGTCTTAGCATCACGTCAGTGGCAATTTGTGCCTGCTGCAGATTGTGCCAGCGAGCTTCTACCATATCTAAGAACTCTTCTAAAGTCAGGGTCTTACCCCAATCTGCCATGCGTCGTCCGAAAAGATAAAGGAAAGTGAGCCTCGCCCACTTTCATTCATTCTGGCAGGTTCACATGCAGCAGCACTGCTGGACCGCACGCCGGTGAGACAACTGGCTAGAAGGTGGGTGCACACGGGAGCTGGGGCAAGCTGCTGGGTGGAGCTACAAGGTCCAGCTGCCGTAGCCAAGCCGCTCGCTCTGGAAGCCGATGGGGTAATAACAGAGGTTCTTTGGTTGAGAAGAACAGCCTGTGGGGGACAAGTCAGCGACACAGGTAGTGTGAGAGGGACAAGTACCTGATGATCTTGCTAGGTGAAGCGAGTTTGGAAGTAGTCTGGGCCGAGCCCCAATTAGGGATGAACTTATATGAACACCGGTGATGGCAGTGAGAGGGAATGCTGATATTATCATGTGATTTCGATGCTTGTTGAGTCTTTTGGTTGTGGACTCTATGGAATGCCGCACTCTGGTTTTCATCAATTACATTGCTCAATTTCCTTGCAATAAAGCAAAAATAACAGAAAAGACAAAAACAACTCAAGCTGCAGACAAACACACACCAGGCCCAGAAATGCACCACGGCCCAAGGCAGCCAAAATGAAAGTTGCTCGGTCTGGGGCCCTCGGTCTCGAGTCAGGCCCTCAGATTCCATGTGGGACGCCCATGCATGCCACAGTACTGGTCGCTCTTTCTTTTTTTTTTTTTTTTTTTTTTTTGAGATGATGCTCCAATCTCTTCGTGGGGAGCAACACGCCTGGGAACCGGGCCCAGCGTCCCTTATCAGAATACAAAAATGAGCTATCGGGGCCATTACCCGGCTTCGGCTAAGAACAATTGAAGAAAAAGAAGAAACTCAGAAACATTCAGAAGATGTGTGTCAACAAGCCTCCCAACCACGAATCAGATAGGTGAAACCTATTCAATCCACCTTCGACCACCACCAGCATGGCTGTTTTCAGCACGAACCGAAGCTCTTCCAGGCCTCATGCTCCCATCAGGCTAGGTTACAGAGTTGCACCACCTTGCTCCAGCACCGGCCAGCATTGCTTCAATTACCACCCCCGATGACCACTGAGACTGCCCCCGCAAACGGCCCCCCAGAACTCTCTACCAGGCCTCACGCCCCCACTAAGCTAGGCCACAGAGTTGCATCTGAAACGGTATTCACCAGTTTGCAGTAGCCGATGCAGATCCCAGGGCTCGATCCCAGGATTTCTTTGAAACGTTGGTGAGAACCTTCAAGATTTGTGAAACAAAGGATGGGATGGGATAGGATGTTAGAGTACGAGTTGGAATGGGCAGCGTTGTGCATCATGGTCTGGCCAGTGGATAGCAGGCCTCCCATAGTAGTTTGTGGGATTCTACCCCTGTGGATGATTGGCTCTGGACACGAGATCGGCGCCTTTGGTCACTTGAAATGAGCACTGCTCTCGACCCTTTTTGATCTGCTGTGGACGCAAGGTGTACTGCTCCTGAGCTTATGTACACGTCAATTCCAGTTGCTGCATCCTTGAAAAATGCCCTATCTACTGTTGTCTAGTTGCACAAATTAGGAAATGCTGCTCACACCCGTGTGACTTCGTTGCACACATCAGGAAATGCTGCTCACACCACTGTGACTTCTGCCGAGATAGCAACTGCTTCGATGTTGATTTTTGCATTGATGCAAAAATCTTCTTAGAATTTGAATTTCACCACTGTGACACTACCTAATATTGCTTGCGTTTTTTGCTTCATTCCGAGTAGTCTGAATTTGAATGTCACACTGCGCCCCCAACACCCAGCCAGACTCAGAAATAGCTCCCCGTTCCGGTGAGAATGGTACTTGCTTGAAGTTGCTTCTTTAGTGGTATATCAATCAGTTCAATACCAGACAAGCACAAAAACAGTCCCCTGTACATAAGTTGCAGCTCACAGAACACTCACATGGTCTGAGAGATGTGCTGGCGCAAAATAGCAAACACACGGCGGCAGTCTTGACTCGCGAGATCCTTGTAATGCTGAGCTAGGTGAGGGCAGCATCCTTCTATCATACAACCTCGCAAAGGCATCACTGCGACAATCCGATAGCCACCAAAAAAGCAAGTTCGTCAGCAGCTTGCAAACGAATCCACCAGGAGGAAGATTGTTTTCCTGTAGTTTTCCCATTGTTACACGCAGGACCCAGTACTGCCATGCTTCATCAGCAATCTCATTACAAACTAACAAACTGCTGTCGGAGCAAAGGTCATGCTCTTTACCCCACCATTCTCTCTGTCGACTTCGACTTGGGAGAGATACCTTGCACGCACAGACCAAGACAGGTGACACCTTTTTCTCTTAGAGCTAGCAGCCAAGGCGGCACAAAGGGGCTTCGTTCAGACCCAGAAGGAAGGTTGAGACAGGTGCAATTATGCCTATTGGCATGCCTGAGACAGCCTTGGAAACTGAACAGGCAAAAAATTAACAAGATAGCCATTCATCCATGTTAGACCATTTCATCTTATGCTCGAGATGCACTGCAATCTTAGCCCCATGGAAGTCTCGTAGGAGGTCATTTCATAATAGCAAGTCTGACAGGGATGATGTTACGTATCCTAAAATAGAAAAACGGTGGGATACATTGTTACGGACTTCGCCAGGGCTCGATCCCTGGTCTATCTTTTGCTGTTTCGGCTGCATCCCGTTTTCGGCCTGGCACCCTTTTTCCAAACCCCTCCTTTGGTACCGTAGGATTTTGGACAACTGGCGCCATGCTGCAATTCGGGCGCCACTTTCAAATACTGCATTTTTCAGTTCTGCCCTCAGGGCCTTTGCAGAAATGCCCCTGGTACCTACGTGTCACCGGTACTTATGCCGGCTCCCCGTACGGTACGGGGACGAGTCTCGACCAGTTCTCTGCTGCTGTACTCGTACTCAGTGTGACTTGCCGTTTCGGCATTCGGAATCCAAGACTTCGACTTTGTGCCTTGCCACTGTGTCTGCGTCCGACCCTCAGTCCGAGTCCGTCGTGTCGAGTGAGTGAGTGTGTGTGTGTGCTCTCACTCTCTCCCTCTCTCTCCCTCTCTCTCATCTCCCTCGGCTCACCCTCAGCCTCACGCTCGTTACATACATGGACAGTGGACACACTGCAGTTATGGCCCAATGGAGATATACTGAGCAGCAACAGCACATGCACAAGGACATCGAACACAAAAGATACCAACCAGAGATTGTTTTACTAATTCCATTCATCGGCTTCACAACATTCGTTTTATTGCACATCAGGCTAGCATAGCACAATAAATTTTAGATGTTGACCGGTGCAAAGTTGTCTTCCTGATAGTCCTTTGGAGGTCACTCAGGAGCCGGGGGGAGGTGGAGGTTGCATGTGAGAAACAAACAGCGAGAGGAACAAAAGGAGCACACTCGACACTGAAGAAGGTTGACAAACACAAAGTTGTCTTGTTGCCTTCGGAGGTTTCAAGAAGGCAGGAGTGGATGAATTGGGGATACGTAGGGGGTTGTGCAATCAGACTCGTTCTCAAACACACTTTTCATGCATGTAAACAGCAACGCAGCATAGTGGCGACATGCGCCCACTCAAAACTCAGAGATATGGCTTTCAGATACGAGTTCACTCTCAATTGGCTATGGCGACTTCAGCGCCCAAACATCTCACTGTTCACAT